TCGGGGGTTTACGGACACTCCTGAGGCGGGGGGGGGCGGGTTGGCCCGGTTGGTGTTTTCTATTTCATCATGATGATGATGATGATGATGATGATGATGACTACTATTGGTGCCTGAGCTGGTAGAGCCCAGACTAAGCGATTAGGGATGCGGAGGATGATTTTCCGCGCCGTGCCAAACGACGTCGATCCCCTTGGTGCGGGACGTCGTGCACATCAATAGTGTCCTGCGCACAAGAGACAACATTTACTGTAAAAATATAATAAAATAAAAATAGAGCAAAAAGGAAGAAAGTCCCCCATGTGCAATTCCAAAGAACGGGAAAAACTCAAGGAGATGATGGACATCATGAATTATCATAGAAAGTCATAAGCGAGCAGCACCAAACTCCAACCAGACCAAGGGGGAGGACTCGAATCACCCGCAATCCGCAGGGACCGCAGCCGAGACTCGAGGGGGAGAAAACTCAAGCGAGGGACGTGCGTCGTTGTTGGCGCTATACTAGCCCGGATTACTAGCAGGTTACTCCTTGCGTGAAATGTATAAATAATATAATTAATATAGATATAGATAGATTGATAGATTGATATATATATATATCTATCTCTATATGTGGGGCATAGACACATATATACATATTTGCTTTCCAACCATCCCCGTTCCACGGTTCCACACGGTTACCTGTGCTGGGTGTTCTCCTCAGTCCCCAGTCTTAGGTCATCACGAACCACCAGACGAAGCCCGTACCTAGTTAGCCTTCCACCCACCAATAGCAACTAGGAGAGCCGTATGCAGCCACTTGAGCCACTTGGGACCTGAAAGTTAGAGGCAGTTAAGTTCTAACTAGTTCCAGTGGGAAAAAATAACGGTTATATAAACGAAGGACACAGCCCACCGCTATGGAAGAGCAGAGACCTTGAGGAAAAATACAGTTAACTATCCCACATAGATCAGATAACAGAATAGATAGATTATCATCACTGCCACAGGCTGCAGTGGGTCCAAGAGACTTGGAGATCTGTCTATCGATCGATCTTGGTAAGTTGGGTTATTTTTTGCTCCCCCGCACATTTTCTTGTTTTATGTTGGTTTTATCGATGTTGATGTTGGTTTTCTTTGTGTTTATGTTTAT